GAAGTCCACAAGTCATCAAGAGGGCCAAAGTTTCCCCCATGCTGGCTCAGGAATTCTGGGAGTTGAAGTCCACGAGTCATGAGGGGGCCATAATTCCCCCATGCTGGCTCAGGAATTCTGGGAGTTGAAGTCCACAAGTCATCAAGAGGGCCAAAGTTTCCCCCATGCTGGCTCAGGAATTCTGGGAGTTGAAGTCCACAAGTCATCAAAGAGCCAAGGTTGCCTACCCCTGGCCTAGCTCCTTCTCCTTGGCAGATTTGGCCAGATTCTGGAGAGCCAGGCCCGGAAACCCAAAGTACGTTCACAAGAACGACCCAGAAAAGGAGAAATCTCTTACTTGTTGAAAACCTTTTTCCCGAGACGGGAACGGGATGTGTTCGCCTTTTGCTTTAGATCTGTGAGGTTGGGATATTTCTTCTTTGCCTTCCCTCTCTTCTTCCCCCCTTTTGCTTTCCTGTCGTACTGAGAAGAGCCAAGATCGACGCCGGTAGCGGCTTCCACTTCTCTCATGAAGTCGGGATCCTGCCATTCTGACGAGAAAAAATAAAAGAATGCAACCCGTTGTATTGTAGTGATTCGTCCCCAGTTGCCTTCCTCCCCTTGGGGTCCTCTGATTTGGTAGCCATCTCTCTCTCATAACCTGTCATATTTTCATCTCCTGAATGAATTCGTATTTTGCAGGGTATTGTGTTACATTATTTTTAGGAGAATACAAATAAATAATAAATTGGACATTTTTGTATTCTGCTCACATTTTTTTTAATATAAAAAAGTAGCTGATTCTAATGAACTCAATGAAAAGAGGGGGGGGGGAGAGAATTAGAAAATATATGGCTTTTTCAATCATTGCTTAGGGTATCTATCTATCTATCTATCTATCTATCTATCTAATCTATCTATCTATCTATCTATCTATCTATCTATCTATCTATCTATCTAATCTATCTATCTAATCTATCTATCTATCTATCTATCTATCTATCTATCTATCTATCTATCTATCTATCTATCTATCTATCTATCTATCTATCTATCTATCTATCTATCTATCTATCTATCTATCTATCTATAACAAAGGTGAAGAACGATGCCCCTTTATGACTTGTGGACTTCAACTCCCACAAATCATAAAGGGGCCATCGTTTGCCAGCCCTGATCTAGAACATAGAACAATGTCTTTCTTTCTTTCTTTCTTTCTTTCTTTCTTTCTTTCTTTCTTTCTTTCTTTCTTTCTTTCTTTCCTTTCTTTCTATCCCTCTACATCTATCAATGCTCTATGCATCTATCTATCTATGCATCTATCTATCTATGCATCTATCTATCTATGCATCTATGCATCTATCTATCTATCTATCTATCTATCTATCTATCTATCTATCTATCTATCTATCTATCTATCTATCTATCTATCTATCTATCTATCTATCTATCTATCTATCTATCTATCTATCCATCCATCCATCCATCCATCCATCCATCCATCCATCCATCCATCCACCACCCACCCACTCACCAATCCAGTTATAAGAAGAGAAGAAAGATCAAACAACCGGAATCAGTACATTTTCCAAACCACTTGCACTCAAGAAAATGTCAAACATAAACGGGACTATATGATTTTGTAGTCTAAGGAACAAAAGCAAAGACATCTAAATTTTCTGATTTAAACCTTAAAAAAAATTCATACCTACTGTATCTTGTACTGACAAACAGAAAGACCCGAGTATGGATCATTTCAGTCTTATAAATTAATACTATAGTTATGAATAGAAAAAAAAAGCTGCAGATATTCCAGATTTAAAAAAAACCATGTAGGAGTTCATGAATCAGGAGCTATTAGCTTTGTGAGTCTAAAGGAATTCAAAGAAAAAGTCTGAAAGGAAAAAAAAAACCACACATTCTCTCTTTCTCTCTCTCTCTCTCTGTCACACACACACACACAAACACGCACAAACGTGATGAATCACAAAGTTTGTTTTTTATCGAAGCAAAGGAACCCAGACACAGGAACAATTAATCCCAGATTAACAAAAAACTGTCTAAACTGTTTATCTCCCAGTAAATAAGAAGGCCGGGGCTGTGGGGACCGGCTGAATGGCGCAATTGTTTAAACACAACGGGGGGAAACGCCGCTGTGTTCGCTGAAGATGAAATGAACATCGGAGGAAAATGAAGGCGCAATTTAAAAGGCTGGGAGGAAAATCGATCGGGTGCCAGGAAGAAGGGCCTGATGGAAGGAGGGGAGCCCGAAGCTCTCCGGGCATTGTTACCGGTTTAGCAGCAGGGGAAAAAGAGAATTACGGCACCCGCCCGCTCGCTTCTGAGGGCTGGGCGAAATCAATACTTCGTAGTTAGCGAAGAGATAGTATTTCACATCTGGCTGGCCAGCGGCTGCCTCCGCTGCCTCCTCCCGATACCTGTTTGTTAACAAGTCACACGAAAGGTTGGGAAGAGCAGATCTTCTCCAGGGCTGACACAAAAAATAGGCACTTAATTTGCTCTCCCGTGTGAGCTATTGTCGAAGGATGAACGGGGCAGATTAGCGGGTCAGCCTAATCTCCCGGGATTCGTCTTCTCAAAGGACCCCCGGGCTCTGCTCGGCGGCCTCCGGGGCCAGGAAGGGACATTGTCAAACCGTGTCACGGAGGGCCGCGCGGTTATTACGCACAAAAGAGCAGGGATGCC